CCCGTAGAATGTTAAATTAAGAGGCAAATATCTGATATCGTTAATTAGGAATTCATTCTACTGGGGATTAGAAGGGGACAGGCAAGCCTAACAGATAAAAGCAGTGCGGCGGCGCACAACGACTCATTTTCTTTTCGTGAGCCATCTAGTTCCCATAATTTCATACTGACGAACGCATGCTTCTTCTCCAACAAATTGACGCACCCGTTCATCCTCGTATTACATCAATTGGTCATTGCATGTAGCATACATAAATTACTCAAACGGTACCAAAAGACTGGAGTATATGTCTTCGTTTCGGCAGAAATTTGATTGCAACGCAAAACTAACTATTACGGGATCAAATGATCAATCGAACAGACAATTGCTGCTATCCAATAGGCAATGATCCTGATTGTGAGCTTAAAGCTTAAATCCAAATGTGAAACCGCTCAGAACAAGATTTGGGAGGATCGATGGCATTGTGCACTCAAGAATATGCGAAATGGATGTGGCGGAACCGCAGTTGAAACGCATCATTAATAATGTTATAGGGTAGAGCATAATGTAGAGTAATTAGAAATACCGACTGCATAAGCAATTGATGGCCTCCGATTGAACTTGATCTTGTTGAGTTACTCAACGAAAAACTAATTCATTAAGATGTAATCTTACAAGGTGGACAGTTGCTAGTTTTCAGCCTCAACAAAAACAAATAAAATGTTTTCGCATTGATAAAGCTAATCGTAAAATGTTTTTGAGCAATCGTTGACAAATTATCTTATCTTACATTTCAACAGCGTACACTGACTATGAGAGTGAACAAGCGAGATTAACGCCGACATTCATATGAGTTCATTAGATTACATTTCGTTCAGATGTGCTCAGTTCCGATGAATGCCATTTCCATACGGCACGACCGAGAGTCGAGTTACATAATCGATAGAGTGGAAGAATTGGACGAATGAGATCGAATTCAGGATGAATGATAATCGCTAGCGATTACCTCTGTTGTCATTTCTGACTCGGCATATACAACACACCAAACGAATGCTTTTCTTCTATTAAAACAAAATCAATTTCTGTTTCCGAAACATCTTCATTACACGATAACTCTCGAAAAAAAAAACATCTGCAATTGAATTTGTAGAAATAAATTAGGCGATAGAATTGATGTGTTCAGTTCAATATCATTGAACAAGAAGCAGATATCATTCAATACTAACAGTGATACACCGACTGACATACATCTCTGAGTGTTTCAATATGTTGTTTATGAGAATTTTTGAGTGAGAACTTTTTTGTGTCAAAATTTTTTGGGTGGTACTTTTGAGCAAACTATTTAATTCGTTGAATGACTTATGAAGATGATGTGGCTAGCGACTGTCAAGAAAAGTTGATTAGGAGCATGAAATTCGCTTTAGTGGATGTCGTTAGTTGGATTTTGACGACGAAGCCAGCAATTTATTGACAACACAGAAAATATTGCACAGATACACTTATGTGCAGGCACATATTCATTATTCTCATGGGGTTGGCTGTTCAAAAGACATCTTGCTGCACTCTGTGGATGTGAATTGGCCAATCTATGAAGCGATCAAGACGAGAATGAACTAAGCTGATGACTTGAAGAAAAAATGAGAAGACGGTGATGAGTATAGCAATCCAAATTAACAGCAGCAATTCGA